TATATATATATATAAAGTAAAATTATTATATAAAACATGGCTATAATAAATATAAAAATATACACTACAATTTAATATAAAACATCACCATAATAAAATATAATATAAAAACAAAATAAAATATAATATAAAACATGACTATAATGAAATCTGAAGTAAATATATAAGTAAAATATTATACAAAACAAAACACAAAATAATCAAACATAAAAAATTAAATATACCATAAAACATGACTATAATAAAATATAAAAATACAACTAAAATATAATAACATGGCTTTAATAAATCTAAAAATAGAAACTACATTTGAAAAGAAAAATATGTAATATTTATGGCACAAAAATCTTCACTGGCATTATCAGCGGACCTCGTTGGAAAAATTAAATGCTCCAAAAATGTATATGATGCATCTTACTTTCTCCACGCGGCTCTCCAGTTCTGCAACGTCACTCTCACATTTATCCAGAGACTGCCTGCACACACACACACACACACGCACACACACACACACACACATTAATCTGACAGCAGATACACCATCCAGCCCAAGAGCATGATGGGTAGTTCACATATGATATCTCCATAAGCCTTTTTTTTACATTTTAGGTACAAATTAATATAAGCAACTGCTCGACATTTCAGGTTTTGAGTGTGAAAAATGAATTATTAATTACACACGTATACTGTGTAGCAATTTCATTTAAAATGTTGTTTAGATAGTTTTAGATGGAGTATAGCATCTCATGTCAACTACCCATCACGACACATTTCCTAAAGTCATTTTATTAGCATTGGGTGTGCTATATGCACATCTGAGGAATCATACAGTGTGTTATGAATGTGATATTATTATTATTAGCATTGGGTCTGCTATATGCACATCTGAGGAACCACACAGTGTGTTATGAATGTGATATTAATACCTGAACGCAGGAGAGTCTCTGATGCACTCCTCAAAGTCCAGGAAAGTGTCCATGTTTCGCTCTGTCCTTATGAACTCAGTGTTTGTAACTATAGCTTGACGCACTATAAGACATTATATCCAGACACGACTGATTCCCGCATCACTGTCTCCGGTGCAGATCATCATCCGCGAGCCGTTATTATCTCACACTCACTGACAGGACTGCGCTGCATCACACGCTGCAGATACTGCACACGGACCACACTAACGCACACGATTCATTAAATCATATCATTCAAGTTCTTTGTGATGTTTGAATCCGTCTCGAGCTGTGTTGACAGCTGCGGAGGTGTTTGTTCATGTTGCTTTTCCGGTGCCAGAAGTCAAGCGCGTAGAGGATGTCCGGTCCGGCATTTTCAAAATAAAAGCATGAACTATAACGTAAAATAAAAGCTAAAAATGATAGATAGATAGATAGATAGATAGATAGATAGATAGATAGATAGATATTTTTGAGAGAAATAGGCCTTTTGTGTACATAGAAAAAGTCTTAGATCTTTGAGTTCAGCTCATGAAAAATGGGGGCAAAAACAAAAGTGTTGCGTTTATAATTTTGTTCAGTGTAGGTAGATAGATAGATAGAATTTAAAATAAAATTGACAATACAATAAAATAATTTTTTATTTATTTAATAAAATTAAAAAGAAAAAAAACTCAAATAACATATAAAATAAAATCTAAAATACAATTAAATAGAATAACAAATAAAATAAAACGAAATTGTAATGAAACAAAAATAAAATAATATCTAAAATAAAATAAAATATAAAATAAAAGACAAAGATATAAACATAGAATAAAATAAAAAATAAAATGAAAAAAAACTGAAATTAAATTAAACAAAAATAAAATAACCTTTTTGAACACTAAAATAACATCTATAATAAATTAAAATTAAAATCTAAAATGAAATAACATTTCAAATACAATAAAATCTGAAACAAAATAAAAACTAAAATAGAATTGGATAAAAGAAAATGAAATAAACATAAATCAAATCTAAAGTAAAAGAAAATTAAATCTAATAAAAAAGAAAATTCCAAATGTGCAATAAAAACACATTAAACAAACCCTTTAACTAATAACTTTAACTAATATTTACACAAAATCACTGACTAAATTTTAAAAAAAAATCTCTAAAATATTAAATAAAGCCATTTCAAAAGTGAATCCGTAGGTTTAATACTGCTGATATTTTAAACAATCAGTACACATTGACTCACATACACAGGAATTCAGAGAGGACACAGATATTGTGAGATTGTATAAAAGTTTATTGTTTAGTATTTGATGGCAAACAGCACAAATACTAAAATCTGACACAGTGTTTTCAAAAGCCCTGCTTTGGAAAAAAAAATCAAGTTGAGATTCAAACATCTCTATAATAAGCCTGTATTAACAATGTACTTCCTCTGAATTCATGCATTCGTGTGTATCTGTGTGCGTTTGTGTAACAGAAAAGATTCTGAATGGAAGTGTGTGTGTGTGTGTGTGTGTGTGTGTGTGTGTATAATGATTTCAGAACTCAATAGAGACAAGAATAACAGTGACATTGTCCGCACTGCTCCGCCTCACAGCCTCACTGGCCAATCGCTGACAGGCTGCCTCAAATCGCCCCGCCTCCTCACTCTGCCCCTCCTTCTGCTCCACAGTCTCATTCTAAAAAACAAAACAATTTTAACATACAATACACACAGCAGAGTTATTTTAGAAATAAGATACTATTACAGTTTTTATTAATACTTCAAAAAAAAAATTTCATTTTAATTTTAATTATTTTTAGTAATTTTGTTGTGTTTTTGTCATTCTTATAAATTTTTTGTTAGCTTTTTTTAAATATGTCTATATAGTTTTTATTACATTTGATTTCAGGTTTATTTTTTTGTTATTTTAGTACATCAAGTTAAAGTAAATTAAAAGAATATTTATTATATAATAAAATATTTTTTTATATTTTATTTTAAGTTAACGCTTATTTTTCAAGCAACACATTTTTTAACAAAGTTTTTATATTTTTATTTCAGTTTTATTTTTTATTTTAGTGTAAGTTAAAGTAAATTAAAATAATGTTTATTATATAATAAAATAAGGTTTTTATATGTTATTTTATTTCAGTTAAAATTTTCAAGTAACATATTTTTTTTAAGTTTTCGTAAATTTTATTTCAGTATATTTTTTGTTATTTTAGTATACATCTGGATTAAGTAAATAAAAATAATATTTTTAAGCATTTATTTTTCAAATAACAATTTTTTAATAATTTTTTTATTTAGTGTTCTATAATAATGCTGGCACATAGAACAAGGAAGTGCATTAAAATACACACCTCTAGAATGTTGAGGACGAACTGAACGGCCTCGTCTGCAGAAAACACTTTAAAAAGCCCATCGCACGCCAACAGAACAAACCTAAAAACACAAATCCTTCAAACAAAGTCCTACAGGTTTGAAACCACACAATAGTGAGAATGCTTTCTGGTAAACAAAGTGTTTCTGCATTAAACCCACCTGTCATTTGGACTGAGTTGACAGCGCCGCACGTCCGGAGTGGAAATCACTCCACAGCGTTTATACTGACCGTCACCGATGGAACGAGACACTTCCAGCACTCCCAGCACACGACCGTCCCTGCGAACACACACTCTGTTACAGCAACCACGACCCGCATCCCAGAACTACGGTGACTGAGAAGTGCAAAACAAATCACAATTCTGAAAACAAAATAACAAGTCAGAAAACACTACACAAGGAACAAAACACAAGGACAAATCAGACAAACCGGGAGAGGCAGGTATAGTTTGAGACAGCGCCATTGGTGTGAGAATAGATTACTCACCGCTGACTGGACGAGACATCTGTCAATCAAGGTATTCAGGAAGAACAGCAGAGTAGCGGTAGAAAGTTTGGAGATGGTCTTAAAGTAACACAATTAAAATGTATTGTATGAATTGCCTTTACTATGGAATAAAAAAAAATATGCATGTACATTTACAACACTGTACTTATATTACCTTTGAATCAGATTACAAAAAACTAGTTAACGCTAATGGGAGGGTGTTTCTAATACAGTGTCTATGGGAGTGACGGTAAATTTGACATAGTTCTCTCTTCTGACTGCCGTTCAGTCTCTCTCTCTCTTTTTTTATTGTAAGTCGTGAAAACACTATCGTGGCAATTTTCTTTTGCTATTTGAGCAAATGGGAATGCAAAAAATAAAAATAAAAAATAAAAAAACAGGCAGAGGTGTGTTAAATTGGGATTTTTTTATGTGGGGCGGAGAGAATTTAAAGGGGAGAATATAAATACAAAACATTAAGAGTTGAACAGTCTTTTTATTAGGAAAATTAAACGAATTTAGTTATATCCAACAGCATTAAGACAGTTCAAAAGTAGAAAACGGCCTTATTGAACATGCAAATTGATTCTCTGCCAGTAGGAGGCGCTTTTGGAAC